TAAATATCATAATAACCATGCTCCTGATTTTTGATTGCTTGACTTTACAAACAGCACCCCATACTTTATTTAGTAATATGTAGCATAATAAAAAAGTATGCTATAACTATGGTACATTATTTATAATAATAAATACACAATTTAAGTTTAATAGTATAGTAGTTATACTTCGCGCAAATATTCTGCACTCGCTGAGTTAATTAAATCATCTATCTGCTGCACTTAATGGCTGCGGAGAAATCTATGTAATCATTTGAATCAGGTGTGCTGAAACAGTGAGTCACGTAAATATACTGCACTATTTTAATCTTTAACCTGCTAAAACTGGCTAATCTAGAATTAGTAGCAGCAGATTACTTTCAACCAAAGTTCAGGTCGCAGCTAAGAAGATGTAAGATCACAATGACTAAGTGATTATTAAGGGAAGAATCTGTAGATTCCCTGGAGACCCTGGATATTTTCCCACCTGTTGAATTGATGGACTCTGTCCAGCAGGACATCAGGTCTTTGTGTTTTCAAATCTGCTGCTCACCTTATTGTGCTGTAGGAGCAGGAACGACATCCTTTTTAGGATACTCTTTGTTCGATTATTGCCCAGGCCATAGATCACCAACTCATTCGATATGACGCTCAGCTCATCTCTGAAGCATGTAAAGGTAGCACGAGGACATTGCTGCAGGGACAAGACAAAAAGTGACATAAGACAGAAACCAGAGCAATCAAACGGCTGGCAGCAAATTTTTTTCCCCTACAGTCTGCTTTCACAGAAAAACGCCTGTCAACTTCTGATATAGAATATTTGCAGATGATACTTCAAATCTCTGAGGTTTAATCTCAGTTAGTGCTGCAAATTTAGACAAAGTTTCAGTGGGTGATGTCCGCACTGTTTGGTCCACTCTCTTCTGTTTGGCCTTTCCCAGACGTCACTCTCTCTCTATATATTGTGGTGGGAAAAAAGTATTCGACTATTCATCCTATTTAAATAAACGGAGATCGATGGATTTCACTCAGTCGGCACATTTATTAAAATCTTTGCAAAGAGAGAACAGTCATCATGGCACAGCATTCTGCTCTGTTCTGATCTGGGCAGGGTTCGTTCCCCCCTAGTTACAACAATGAAAAGCAGTCAGAGTCATAACAAATTACGCACCCTTTGCTTAACAGTAACATGTTATGAATAAACCTTGAGA